AATCTTATAAAGGCCACCTATGACAAACCAACAGCCAGCATTATACTAAATGGATAAAAACTGAAAGCTTTCACTTTAAAATCAGGAACAAGACAAGGATGTCCACTATCACTACTCCTATTCAATATAGTTCTGGAAACACTAGCCAGGGCAAGAAGACAAGAGAGAGAGAGAAATAAAACAAATAATGATAGGAAAAGTAGAAGTTAAATTATCACTACTTGTAGATGACATGATACTCTACATAGAACACCCAAAAACTCCATTGAAAGATACTAGAGGTAAAAAATAAATTCAGCAGTGTAGCTGGATACAAAGTTAATGCTCAAAAATCAATAACATTCCTGTACACAAACAAAAATCTCACCAAGAGAGAAATTATGGAAATACTACCCTTCACAATAGCATCTTAAAAATGAAATACTTAGAAATCAGCCTAAGAATGTAAAAGACCTATATGCTAAAAATTATGCTACACTTAAAAGGAGACTGAAGAAGATATTAGAAAATGTAAGAATATTTCTTGTTCTTGGCTAAGAAGAACCAACATTGTGAAAATGGCCATACTCCCAAAACTGTGATACGGACTCAATGCAATCCCACTCAAAATACCATTAACATATCTCACAGATCTAGAGAAAATACTCCTATAACTCATTTGGAAACAGAAGAAACCTAGAATAGCAAAAGCAATTCTGGGCAACAAAGACAAGGCAGGAGGCATCTCAATTCCTGACTTGAAACTATACTGCAAAGCCACAACAATAAAAACAACATGGTACTGGCAAAATCAGACCTGAGGATCAATAGAACAGATTAGAAGATGCAAACACAACTATAATGACATTCAGCCATCTGATATTTGACAAAAGTGCTAAACATATTCACTGGAAGAAGGATAGCCTCTTTAATAAGTGGTGTTGGAAAAATTGGTTCTCCACATGCTGAACACTGAAACTAGACCCATGCCTATCACCATGCACAAAACTAAAGTCTAAATGGATCAAATGCCTAAGTATTAAATCAGAAACACAATCTACTGGAAGACAAGGTAGGCAGATGTCTTGGAGACATAGTGACAGGCAGAGAATTCATGAACAAAATGCAAACTCCATGAAAAACACTTGAAAGAATCAACAACTGGGATCTCATATTATTGAAAAGTTTCTGCACTTCAAAAGAAATCACCAATAGAGTGAAAAGAAAACCCACAGAATAGGAAAGAATTTTAGCCAGTAACCCTTCAGACAAAGGACTTATATCAAGAACATGTAAAGAATTAAAATCATCAAGCTCCCCAAATTCAAAGACCCTCTCCAAAAATGGGCAACTGAGATGAACACACAGTTCTCAGATGAAGATATACAAATGGAAAACAAATACATGAAAACATTTTCACCATCACTGGTCATTCGAGAAATACAAATTAACACAGCATTGAGATTTCATCTCACTCCAGAAAGAATAGCTGCCATCAAAAAAACAATTGATCATAAATGTTGGCCAGGCTGCAGGGAAAAAGGAACACTGCTCCACTGTTGGTGGGAGTATTGACTCGTGCAACTATTATGGAAATCAGTATGGAGAATTTTCAGAAGACCAGGATTGAAAATTCCATTCAACCCAGTTATTCTTCTCCTGCTTATTTTACCAGAAAAACTGAAAAGGTCATAATATATGTGCACCCATGTGCATAGCAGCACAAGTTGTAATAGCTAAATCTTGGAAACCAAAAGATTCCCATTAACCACAGAGTGGATGAAAAACATGTAGTATGGTTATACAGTGGAATATTACTAATATTATTCAGCTATAAAAAGGACGATCTTGAGGCCCTGATAGACAAATGGAGACCACTGGAGGTTATCCTCATTAATGAAATAAATAAAAACCATGTTTATAAATATCACATTGTGTCTCTAGTGTAAAAAGTAATAAAAATATAAGAGTAATAAAACCCAAAATGTGTAATTGCTATTATAAAAAAGAGAAAAAAAGAAAGTGCTCTAAAAAATATAACTGCATGTATGTTTAAGTGTATAGGATTGATAACCATATTACTGGGTTTTTGTTGGATCATTTTGCAGTTTCACTGTTTGAAAGTCCCCTTTGTATGCTTTACTTTTGTAACTTGAACAGTATTTCTTAAAAAACAATATGTAATTTATCAATTAGTGATTTCTTACTGTTTATTTTTTGAAAGTATGTATTTCTATCCTTTTTCTGTTTTGTTTTTTCTCTTTAAATAAAATTAAAAAATAAAAGAAGAAGGAAAGATAAACTTGAGATATCTGTAGGAAAATGAATGCACTTTACGATGACAATGAAATAAACGAATTAAATTAGACAGGCTTAAGTATTACATGGTTTTTCTTACATGTGAAACTCAAAGTTTGAGAAGCAAAATAAAACATAGATAATAAGTGAAAATATGGATCTTTCTCAAAGAAGAGTTAATAGTTGAAGGGAATTGGGAGAGAGAAGAGGGAAAGTGGGTGAAAAAAAGGAATCAAAACATGTGTTATGTACAAATATCAACTTCACACAAAGAATGTAAACATTACAAGCTATAAACATGTACAACATCAAAGCAGGGAGAATGTGCTAAGCTTTCCTAATTGGGCACTTGGGGAATGAATTGTTTTCCATAGGCACTGAAACCTCTCTCCTCTTGACTATTCCCTGAGAGACCTCAGCTTGTGGCTGTGGTTTCAAGGATCCTACTTACTGGACTCCAGAGCAGTGAACTGCGAGACTTTTGAGAAGCAGGTTTCTGGAAGAGGTGGGTGTAAGATGAAAGGGATTTTAGAAACTTTGTGGAGGTTTAACAGCGCGTGAGTTTAAGAGAAAGTCTGTAGCTCAGAGATGAGCAGCTGTTGTGAGTTTTGCGCTAGAACTAGAAAGATCCCTTAAGATGACAATTACCTGGAGAAATTATCAACTGCATTTCTTTCACGGTCACTAACTCCATGATTTTTTTTTTTACTTCTAGTAGCCAGAGACAGTAACGCTGGTTTCACTATTTAGAATTTTATTACCTCTTGAAAAAAAAAAAAAAAGCGTAATTATTACAAGGGTACTATTTTCTGCCATAGCAGGAAAGCACATTGGGTCTAATAAAGTCAAAAGATATGAAGATGTCAAAATGTTTGTAAAATATGATATTCACTCGGGACAGTTGTCATCCTTAGAAATTCAAATTTGATTGGAAGCTTTTAGAGAACCACTATCTGTATGAGAGTTTTAGAAAGGGCACTAACAGCTTTGTATTAAAAAATATCACTGCAGTACTTGAATGAGACTCTAGTAGAGACAGACCCTTTGAAAACTATTTGTTCTCATAAGAGCAATTAAAACAAAATATCAGAGCATGTTATTCTTTCTTGTGAATGTTTAAAGTAGTTTCAAACGTAATTTTCTTAAAGTTATGATATTGTCCCTCAGATTCTTCTTGTTTCAAAAAAGATTTAGTGCTCTGTTGTATCAATAAAAAGCAAGAGAAATACATTTTATTTGCCAGATATCAAATGGCTATTACAAATCCCGCTTGAGAAGCTTAAGGACATGCCAAATCTAATTTTAGGCTATCTAATTGGTAAAATGAATGAGAAGTTATGCAAATGTAGCACAAGTCCCACAGGTGAAAGAGGTAACTTTCTAGTGATATCAGATGATCTTAATCTCCTGGGGTTTTTTCAAATTTTTTCATTCTGTACACCCAGTGATTCACAGCTGGCACCTCTGTCCACTTCACTCCTTTTGAGACATTTGGCAGTTTCTAGAGCCATTTTGGTTGTCATAACTAGGGAGGAGGCTGACCTAGTAACATCCTGCAGGTCAAAATCAGGGGTGTTGCTAAACATCAGACAATAACTTAAACAGCTTCCTTTGTCCCCCAGCAAAAAAATTGTCATGTCTAAAATGCCAGTAGCTCTCAACTAGAGAAAATTTACTTCATATTAACTGATGAAAATCTACTTCATATTAACAACTCCATAGAGTTGTTACAGCTAAAGATATCTGAAGCACTTGCCAAATCAACCACAGGACATAGACTGCTGCTTAAAATCTTTCACTGACAACAAACTATTGCATCAATGTGATTTCAGCATTGGTGTGTTTCGATTATGAACTAACTCCCCGTGAAGAACAGATCACAATACTTTTCACAGACAAATATATCACATGACCTAGGCTGATATGTTTTAAAGTAAATGATAATCAGTACAGTATTTTGCTTTTCTTTTATTTGCAGTCAACTTATTTTTTGTTGTTATTTTGTTGCTTTTTTTTTTTTTTGTACAGGGCTTTGTTATGTAGCACAGGGTGGCCTTAAACTCACTTTGCAACCTAGATTGTCCTCAAACTTGCAGTGATCTTCTTGCCTCAGTCTCCTGAGTGCTGGGATTACAGGCATGCACTACCACTATTGTCTGTTGTCTTCATTTGATATTAACTAATGAGGCTGACCAAGGGAAATGGTACCTGCATATAGTTTTTAAAATGTTTACTTTACAATGATCAAAATCTTAAACATGGAGTAATTTTATTTTTCATCATTCTGTGTTCTCAAGTTTTCATCTCAAAACATAAAAACCCCGACTTATTTAAATTGTTTCTAAATTATTATTGTAATAAATATTCCAATAAATATCTTTGTACATATTTTTAGAGTACATAGTGGACGGTGGACTATAAACCATTTTAAGGTTTTCAATAAAAAATGCTAAATTGCATTGTCGGGAAAGTTAGTACCAATTTATATTTGAAAAGCAGACTATTTGCTTAGCTACCAGTAGAGTTTACAAGATGAAGTATAACTACTAAAAACACTTGCAAATTGGACAGAGTAACTTTATAATTTACAAACTCATATTGTATATTTTGTTTATGTTAATTGCAGGGTTATTCCATTTGTCAAAAATAAATTTCTATTTGTTCTTGGAATACACTTAGAATTATTTTATCCCTATTGTCTAATAAGTGAAGCTACTGAAAATATGGTTCAGAAGAATTGGACATTTGTGACTGAATTTTATTTCTCTGATTTCCCTCAGTTTGAGAATGGCAGTCTCTTTCTATTCATTCCTCTGCTCTTTATTTACATATTCATTATTGTTGGAAATTTCATGATCTTCTTTGCTGTCTGGTTGGACCCTCGTCTCCATAACCCCATGTACAATTTCATCAGCATGTTTTCTTTCCTGGAGATTTGGTACACTACGGTGACCATTCCCAAAATGCTTTTCAACCTGGTCAGTGAACAGAAGAGCATCTCATTCATTGGTTGCCTTCTGCAGATGTACTTTTTCCACTCACTTGGAGTCACGGAAGCCCTGATCCTCACAGTGATGGCCATTGACAGATATATTGCCATCTGTAATCCTCTTCGCTATGCAATCATTATGACTCCACGACTGTGTGTCCAGCTGTCCACCGGCTCTTGCATTTTTGGCTTCCTTATGTTATTGCCCGAGATTGTGTGGATTTCTACTCTTCCTTTCTGTGGCCCCAACCAAATCCACCAGCTCTTTTGTGACTTTGAACCTGTGTTGCACTTGGCCTGCACAGACACGTCCATGATTCTGGTTGAGGATGTGATACATGCCGTCTTCATCCTGACCTCTGTTTCTATCATCAGCCTTTCCTACTTCAGAATCATCACAGTGATTCTGCAGATTCCCTCAGGTGAGAGCCGTCAGAAGGCATTCTCCACATGTGCAGCCCACATTACCATTTTCTTGCTGTTCTTTGGGAGTGTGACACTCATGTACCTGCACTTCTCTGTCACATTTCCACCACTGCTGGACAAGGCCATTGCATTGATGTTTGCCGTCCTTGCCCCACTGTTCAACCCAATAATCTATAGTCTACGGAACAGAGACATGAAAGATGCCATCCAAAAAGTTTTCTGTTCTTAAAAGATGTTTAATGTTCTGGGAGTTAATAGGAGTTCACCAATATCTGTTTGAAGAAATCTCATCATCTCCATAATTTTAAAATACTTTCAAGTTAGTTTTTAAAATTACTGTGTACATTTTGTTTTCATGTTGCTGTTGATGTTTTTTCCAATTTTCCAATTTACAGCCCTTAGTTGACCTTATAGAGGAAGCTTGCGGTATATGTAGCTATCCTTACATCATTCAAAGATGATGACGAACATATTCTCCACTTTGAACACCCAGATATTGTGGTATCATCTTCAAGATGATCAAAGATCATGACTAAAGAGATAATGATACTCATAATTTGTACAATTAAATATTTCTCTTATATATGCTTTCATTTTGTATTCATACTACCCTTATATTGCTTTTTTTTTAAGAAGACATGTGAGATGCAAAGAAATTAAGTAACCTAAGCTTGGCAAAGAAGTCTGACTCCCTAATGCTCATCTGAAAGACCTTTACCGCTCAATAAATTGTCTTCTGAGTTACTGAAATGCTGAGGTGAAACAAATAGTCACTGAGTTTGTGATGTTTGCATCATGATGTTATTATTATCAAGTCTTTCATGGGTTAATTCTCACATTGTTTTGAAGATTCAAAACAAACATTCTTGGGCACTTAAGAACCAGATAGATACAATGGATTATTCTAGGACCAAAACATACAAATATACAAATTGTACAAAGTTACAATTTTATGCTTTATAAAGTTTTCATACTATTAAAATGTTTCACTCTCTTTTATGTTCAAAGGTCAAGTCTGTTTCATACATCCAAGTCTTTATTGTTATTGCTGTTTAATCTTTGGAATATTCCCTTCTTTCCGCTTTGGAACTTATATTCATCCATTTAAAAAGTTCACACATACCTTATTGTCTGGGATAGATGTTTCTGACTTTCTCTTATAGAACTACACTAGTGGTTTTAGGAGCTGGTTAACTTTCTTCAGAATAAACTTTGGTCTGTTTTTTATGGAGACTAAACGAGGATGTAAAGCAATTGTCAGAAGGAGCACAGTCAGCTGGGCAGTTAGCTGGAAGTGTGGGAAAGAGAGAGAGAGGTGTCATCAATGGAAAAATCAGTGCTATTGAATGCAAGTAAGCTTCAGTTAGCAAAATCCAGGTTGGTGGCTAGATACTGGGATCCACTTGGGAGTGTGAAAGACTTGCTCTGGCATTAGGGACCAACTCTGTCCTTTACCTTCTGTTGCTTCTGTAATATCAAATCCCCTCCTGCATTACCATGAACTTTTCAGTGCCAATTAGGATTTTTGCGCTGAGAAAATTATATTCACATATAAAGATTAAAAACTTTAATACTTTATTTATAAATATAATACTTAATCATCTTAAATGGCATTTGAGATGCATTTGGCCTATTTGCAAACATAGCAATTAAAACTTTATGCTATACTTCTGCATTAATTTACATTTAAATAACTCAATTTTATGATTTAATAAAGATTTCACAATTTACCTTGAAAATTTTTATAGTTGGAAAAGAGAATCGTAATATGATTGATTCTAAATCTCTTAATATTATCATTATTATAGTAAGATTTCAACTTCAGGTAATATGTCAAATAATTTTGATTTAATGTGTAAACTTTTAAATTTTATCTCAGTAATTTTGATTAAAATTATTTTTTCAATTACAAAATAAAAGCAGAATTACAAACTATATCTCTTAGTCTAATAGATCAAATTATCATATTGTAAATATAAGTGATAATAAATAGCTATGGAATATTATTCTAAACTACAAATTGACATTTTTCCTAATATTTGTATGTTTGCAAATATTTGTAAAACTGAAAGATATTAGCCACCAAGGAAATAAGTATGTGACTCATATTTTTATTCATGAAATAAATGTTTACAGAGGTTATTATAACATATTAATGAAAAAATGGTGAATGTTTAAATTTAAAATAATTATTACAGTAAAATTCAGGTTGCCACTTATCCCTCTCAGAACACTCCCAGAAGTTCTTAGCACTTTCTAAAGCAGTTCTGGGAGTCCTCGTTCAAGGGTGTTTTAGTTGTGCTCAGTGTCTGAATCAATTACAAATGATTACATTTCATTGTCATTTTGACTTGAAGAAGATTCAGAAGATGTATGGCGCTAAACCTGGGGAATATCATTGATGAAGATATGCCATGATGTTTTTATGATGGCATTCAGCAGTAGCCTGCACCATGTGTTTGACCGTACCTTGGAAAACACTCAGGAAAGTGGACTTACAGAACTCCTGCAGAAGATGACAAGAAAGGGCTAAGTATGTGTGAAGCAAGGACTGGGTGGGTATTCTGACAAGCATTAATGGAAATGTGTTTTTATGCAATACATTAAATATATACATATTTAATATATATATATAGTTAAATGTATATATAGCTATATATATATATATATATATATATATATATATATATAGTTAAATATATATATTCTTCTGTTTGATGACACTTTTATCACAGATACTATTTTAGGTATCTACAATAGAGCTGCCAGGAACATTATCTGCTTTATATAACTGAGGTTTTAGAGGAAGATATTTTACAAAAAGTCATATTAAAAATGAACAAAAAAGTGCTTAATGGTTACATGAAATTATATGTTCTCTAATAAAAAGAAAAGAAAGAGAATTAAGAGTGGAAAGGGGTATCGTATTTTTAAATATAAACGTTGAACTTCATTTCAAAGATAACACTTTTAAAAAAGAGTTGGAGAGAAGAAAAAGACACTTATAAAGACACATTATCCAGACTGCAGTAAAGACTAGCAAAAATGTCCCAAAGTAACATACATTTGGCTTGTGTAAGGAATCAGATTCCACTGTGGTAGAAATGAAGGGTGGATGAGTTGGGAACTAGAAGATTTGTTCAAGGCAATAAAAGTAGGACCTTAAAGGTTTTAGATTTTTAAATTTACTCTGAAAATTGAAGAAGAATTGGAGAGTTTTGAGCAGATTAGAGGTAGCATCTAGTTGACAGTTTAGCAGATGGGAAGACAAACAGGAAGGCCAAAATGAAAGCTGAAATATCCATGGAACTATTCTAGTAATATGCTTGGGAGGTGATATTGGCTTAGATCACCAATATGGCCAATCGACATGGGGAAATGTGGTCCAACTCTAGATATAGTTTAGTGCTGGAACCAACATGATTTCCTTATAGACTGGAAGTAGAATGAGAAAATACAGTTGAAGATGAACTGCTGGGATGACTAAACCACCATTCTCTGAGGCAGAATGCTGCAGGAAGAAGCTGTTGGGGTAAAGGATAACAAAAGTTTAGTTCTGCAAATCTTCAGATTGCTAAAGATCCAACACAGCCAAGTAGCTGATATATGAGTTAAATATATATAGAAGCTTAGGAGAGTTGGAGATATATATGTGATTAAGTATTAAGCAGTGAGACATGAGACTGGGTAAAACTATTAAGGCCCTCAATACGAAGATTTTGAGAAAAATAATATGAATCACACAAAATAATTTAGAAGAAGTAAACAATGTGATGCAAAACAAAACAAGTGTTTTGAGTGCCAGGTATACATAACACCAAGGAGAGGAAAAAGAATCAACTTTACTAAATTCTGTATACTGTCAAGAAAGTTAAGAAATATGAATTGGTCTTTGGGTATAGACATCTAGAGGTCACTGTTAAACTTATTAAGAGAAGTTTACAGGGAGTAGTGAAGGCATAATCTTGCTTGGAGTAGTTTAACAGAAGATTAGAGAAAAACTGGAAATTTCAACTATGAACAACTCTTTCACAGATTCTTGCTAGCTGCCTTTAGAGGTCACTAAAATACTTCACTATCTCTGACTAAAATTTTAAAAAATCAAATTATGTTAGAATATAAACATATATTTACATATTGATATTTCTGTTACAGTAGGAAGTAGTCTTACAAAATAATATTGACATACGCTCTGTATGATATTTCTTATATTTCCTATTATTTTTTCCCTATTTCATTTCATTAAAAAGTTTTGAAATTGATTCCAGCACTCACTGATGGATGATAACCTTTAATTTGTAATTATATTTAAATTAGTTCTTCAAATCATTTTGCCTTTAGATGCAAATACTGAAGAACATTTTCTGTTTTTAACTGCATTTACCAATGTTTTCTGATTTACTTATAGTAAAGTATTACATTTTATTAAAAAACAAATTTTATTTTTAAAAATATAATTGAAACGTGATGAAAATACACACTCTCTGATAGTGCTGCTATGTCATCCAAATGGAACAATCCTTTCTAGAACAATTTAGTAATATGGAGTCAAAATGAATTAATATGCGTAGATATCCAAACAATACACAATGTATCAACTATCATAACTGTCCTACTAACCTGTTTTGAAATTTGATTTCCTTGTTTGTTTTCTTTTCTTCTCTCCTTAAAATAAAAAAGTTACAAAAATAGTAGGAGATAGAGAAGACTTCTCTGCTGAAGAGAAACAAAACTTTAAGATTGAGAAGAAATCAAACAGAAAATATGTAAAATGGATCATTTTTTTGAAAATGCTCAAAGGTTAGCAACAGCGGAATGCATTATAAGAACCAGATGGAAGCCTGCAGAATAGATAGAGGGAAGAAGACTGTTGAAATGACCACTAGAAGTAGCACACTGAGGTATTATGGTTTAATCCAACCTACCTTGAAAACAATGAAGAGACTTAAGTAAGACATTGCATTTTTAGAATAACATTGCCGATATGATATTAATTTAAGATTGTATTTTGACAAAAGTAGAAACAGAAGAATGATTTAAAAGAACTTACTTGTTATATCTTGCTCTAGAACAAACCCCTACCCCAATTAATAGTTTAAAAGAGAAATTGTCATACAATTTCATGGATTGGCAACTCAGTGAGTCAGTAACTAGTTTACTAGAGTTGGTTGAAAAACACTATCTAAGAGAATGTGCTCTCCTCCATGTGTTATCTCACTCTCTAAAGGA